AATGTAACTGCTGGCGTTACACAGATCGTGGCAAGGAGATGGGATTCCTCCTGCACTGTGCTTACTGTGCTGTGGCCTGAGCCAGCCCTGTGATGTGCAGGAAAAACATCTGCTTCATGAACATCTGGGCTCATGGGCCTGGGCTCTTCCAGCAGGTGAGCAAGCAGAGCATCACCCAGACACAAGGGAAAACCCTCAAGTGAAGACTTGTCTGCGTGAGGCTGAATTCTGCAATTTCCAAATCAGCAATTACAGTGCTAAAATCTGTGCCGACATGTGAGCATGGCTTTTCACTGAGATCTGGCATATTTTTAGTCTGGGCATGGCTTATGTTCTCTTTCTTTTCCTTCACCTGGTGTTGGGTGTTCCTCATTGTACAATATTGTAAGTCTGGATAAAATTGGCCTTCTTTTGCTTTTTGCGTTGTTTTCCTCTGGATTCCAGTACCTTTCATATACACTTCTGTTTGGATTGAGCTAAAATTTGTATCTGATAAGTAGTAAGAACAACACTTTTGGCTCTACTTCGTCTTGATCTTGCTGGTCTGCATCTTCAGTAACCTGTTTCTGCTGTGTGGGCTCCAACATTAATTTCTGTGTTTCATCTTTTCAGTTTCTACACTGTGAAGCTGAAAACTTTAATATTAGAATTCCATTTCCTGTGAAAGCTTTTTAGTGCTATTAGATGAGCAAATCTCAACTTATAAATGTGACTGTCGTTATGTTTTAGCTTACTGGTTTTTGGCATACATAGCTTTTAGCTGGACATGTGTTTTGAAAGAAGAATGAAATACACATACTTTGCATAAGGTCAGTAAAACCAGCAACAAGTAAACAATAAAATAAATTATTTTAGTACTTGTCTAAATTTTTAGTGCATTTTTGTAAATACATTATATTCTCCTGTGATTAAGATGACTAATATCAAGTTATAGCAAATAATTTGAGATATCATGATAGTTAAAAACATGATTGTTATAATTAATATATTAACCACTATATGTTGTTTATTCTCATGAAAATACCAATACAGGAATACTACCTTTTTTATGACCTTGGTATTCATAACCCTGAATAAAGTGAAGAAAGAATGAAGTTAAGTAAGAATAGTTACCTGTTCAGGCAAGGAATAATTTCACACCATTTGGGATACATCTGTGTCTTGCTTGTTCCTTGTGAGAACAAATTTGGTTTGATCCTCATTATAAAATGAGCAGGTGTGAAGCTGTATTTTCTGATCAGTGGCATAGGTTATGCATAACAACATTGTTATGTGTATTCTAATGCTATACATAGTGGTAGTTGTAACCAAAGTTACCAAGAACTTTTCAATAGTCCTGTAGTGTAACACTATTCACATTCAATGTGCTGCAAAGCTTGAGTGTGGTGAATTTGTTCCTTGCCTTTACCAGCTGCTTCTTGGGTTGTTTCAAGCAACTTCATTTACCTCTCTGAATCAGTTTCTTCATCTCTGTTAAGAGATACCTGAAGTATCTGAACATTTACAGACTATAGAGAATAAAAGTCTAGCCCCATTCTATCTTTGAGGGTTTTTGAAGTATCTCACTTGTGATAAATGGAAGTGCTTTCACTTTGAGTGTCATTAGAATCTTGTAAGAATGACTTAGGCTTGTGTTTATTTAGTTATAGCAAGCAAACACATTTTTTCCTTCAATGTGTTTGCACAATCTAGTCAAAGGGACCCAAGCCTTTGAAGGGGATTTCTTGGTATTGTCAATTGCAAGCAACTAATATAGGCAGCAGCCACTAATTTTGCATCTACAATTATTTTCAGGCGCAAGGTGAGCCATGTTCCCAGTAGATGTACAAGGCTTGAAGTGTTTTCATTTATCTGTTCAGGTAACATTGAATACAGCCACTTAGAGATGTGAAAGCATCAGCTAGATCAAGGCTTCTTAAAACCAGGGAACTTAGAATATGCCTTACACAAACTGTCAGGGTAAGGGCCTGAATGATCTACATCTCACCAGGTAGTTTTGTGGAGGAACGGTGTTGCACTTCTGAATGCAGAGAATGTGTTAATCTCTAAATAACCAATGTCCCAACCAGAAAAATTAAAAAAAAAAAAAAATCCATTTGTTCCATGGAGCTGAATCAGAAGTCCGAGAATTTTTTTTGTTAATTCATGAGAACTCATGTTCACATATATAAACATTAGAATTTACTTATTTGTTCTTGGATGTCACAAATACTTGCAGAGGATACTTGAGTGAAAATTACACTATATGAGAAATGGAAAATACTCATCCCAAACCAGTCCTATTTTCTCTAACAGACAAGCATAGCCCCAGAACCCACCTCTGACCCTCTTTCACTTCCTAGAAAACACTGCTATTACTTCAGTTTCTCAACAACAGTTTGCTTCTAGCACAAGAAGGGTATTTCCAGTGACACCAGTAGACTTGAGCATGTGTCCAGCAGCTGCACTGGGCAGCACTGTGTACTCAGGAGTGTCCTGGATGTGGAACAAGCACATCTGCAAAGACAGTGCCAAGGCTTTGATGGGGGAGTGATGCCTGGTGTGTCCCCGTGTGAGATGTGCCCCTGCTGCCAGGCCCACATCCTGCTCTGGTCCTTTCTGTAACTGGGCTGGCACTTTGGTTCTCTGCCTGCTGTGGGACACCCACACACTGCATTCCATGGTGTGATCTTCATCCCAGTCCTCTTCAGAGAAGAATACTGGATGGCAATGTATGCAGAAACTCAAGCCCAAAGCCTTTACAATCTGTTCAGGTCTCAATTGCATAAATTAGTCTTCCCTGTGCTATCTGATGCTGTAAAAAGTCTTAAGCAGTATTTCATTGTCTGTATGTTTGTGTCTGTATAGATAATGATGGCCAGAAAAACAATTAAGGGAAGCATATGCTTAGTACTGGAATTTTATCTGTTGCATATTATGGCAAAATGGTGTCTTGGTGAACATACTGCTCTGGTGATGAACTTTCATTTCATTAAATGAAATGCACCATATGGTACAAAATGCTGCCTCTCTACTTGTTTGTTTTGCATATACTTATATCCTCTTCTTTTTGACACTCTGTGAGGGTGGGAAAGGTATTGTTGGTTAATATAAAATTTCTAATTTATAATACTAGATCTGCATTGTAGTGGATAAATGTTTGCATCCATAAATAATTAAATGTACAGTTTTTCTTAGGAATGAATTATGTCTTAATATTTACATCTGTAACTTTGCATTTGCAAGGACAAACATGAATGCTAGGCTGAAGGTTGCCTGAAAATCTGGTCTTGCATATTCTATGAAAAATATTACTCACATTTCTCACAGGTGAATAAACTGCACGCATGGATGAATCTAGTTAATTCAATGGTTTAATAAACCTAGAATCCCAATGAGGTTATAACAAATCCCTCTGGTGTCTTGGAGTTATGAGAAAGATGTATAAAATTATATGCAAGCAGAAGAACTCTTTCTAAATTTGAGGAGTCTTTTGCACATTATTTTTTTTTCTGTTCACTACATGAAATAACTTCTCACCTGTGGCTCTGTCATAATAAAGTATTAGATCAATTATTTTTTTTGAGGCCAATATCTGGGGTCAATTTGCATTTGACTAAATTTTTTTTTCCAATTGGATAGTTTGTTTTTGAAACAATTAGGCAGCGTGAAGAGAGATGCCTCTCTTAATTTCCCTGTGATGAAGATGTCTGGTGTGAAGTGGAAATACCTGCAGTTCTCCTGTCAGGGAGCAGCATCTTGTCACAAGCTGCCCCAATTTCAGATGTTAAACACATGTGGATCCTGGATCAGAACCAATGCTCGAGGTACAAACACAGGAACAGCAAGATGATTTGGAGTGACTGATTTAGCAAAGCAGCTGGGACTAATATAACTGAATAAATATATGATGAATGCCAGTTTTAGGGTCACTGTACTCTGAATTACAATCTGGACAACTCAGCAATCTAAAACCTGGTCAGTTCTTAAATGAGAAACCTTCCAGGAAAGAAGTATCAGGCAGAAAATGATAATTCCATAATAGGCTTCTTTTGCTGCGTTTTGATATAGAAGCAAAATCCTAGCCTAGGGACTGGGTTGGCCTTTTTCAGTATCATGAATGTGTTGTTATTTTACAGGCACTTGCAGGGAGAGGACAACCATTCCAAGAAACCTCAATATGTTGGAAGGGGTCTATATTTTCTGGTGAAAAATAAAGCAGATGCTGCGACTGCATGTTATCATGGAGAGATCCTACTGCATGCTCAGGAAAAGGAATCTGTTGTTTTTCACAGCTTCTGAAGTGGGGAACAAGTTCTGCCTTCATTTTACACTGAGTTAAGTAAAAAATTGCAGGTAAAGTAATGCTAAGTGCTGTAATCTCTCTCAAAGGTCCACACATAATTTATAAATATACTTGGAATACAGTAGCAGAAACTTACACTTAAATTTTCATTTAGTAAAGTTCTGTGGAGTTTAGAGGAAAAAATAATGAAGCTGAAGAAAAGCACAATTGATACAAAGACTTTCCACTGAATATATTCCTGTATAAAATTGTAATTTGATTAACAGTTGAGGGAGGATAAAATGCACAAAATGGTATCTAAATATGTGGAAAGCCATATACTCTGCCCTGGTTTAAAAGATCCCAAGTATATGAAATTGAAACGTAGCTGAGTTGATTGTCATCTTATATTCATTACTCTTCAGCACTGCTGGCAGAATCCCCTCTAACCAAATGAGCATAATATGCTTACTTAGCACTTTCACAAAGCCATGAGTTTATAACCACAATTAAAGCACTTCTTTTGCAATAATTATGCAATCTGAACTGGTCTGTGGTAATAGAAGAAAATTTTAATTCCCCATCTTAATATCAGAAATCCACTTAGTAGGATCCATTTTTAGGTAGTCTCCAGTTCTGTGTGCGACCTGTATTAACATTTATATTCCTCATTGAGTCTGCTCAGGGTACTCTTCTGTTTATTTCATGAACATACTTCTAAAATATACCTGCAATCTTACGTAGGCATGGCTGGCAACCAGCAGAGCCCGGGCGCCGCCCGCCCCGGGGCCGAGCTGCGGCCGCAGCCGCCCGGCTCCCGCTCGCAGCGCAGCTTCTCGCACAGGATGCCCGTGTAGGCCGGCGGGCACTGGCAGCGCACGTTGTTGATGCAGGTTCCGCCGTTCTGGCAGTGCAGGAGCTCGTTGTCACACACGTTGGCTGCAAGATAGCAGGGGAGGGGGGAGAGAACAGGGAGCGATGTAAGTTCGATTTCAGCAGAAATGCACCAGAGCCAGAACTGAGGCTCCACCTCCCTCCTCTTCCTGAGACATATGATAAGGGGCTCTGCTTCTTCAAATACTCGGATTTTTTTTCCCCCCCTTAAGGCTGTATTCTTGGAAAATCATCAAATTCACTTAACACCACTGACTAAAGTATTGATTAATTTTATATGAAGGACTATTTAATAATGAAATAATAAGAATTTTAACACATGCCTTGTGCTAATGTCTGCATCTTTATTCCTGAACTGGAACTGTAGGTGGTGTGTGTTATTTGAAAGGGGCAATGCATCTAGAGCTTTTGGAAACCACGCACAGTGGTTAAAAATGCAATATGGCTTTGCTGAAGTAAAAAGAATTGCATGAGAGGGCAAGGTTTTATAATCAAGAACTGCATGTATTAATGATCTGAAAAAATTATGCAAAAAAGATAAGGCAAGCACAGGCAGGAAATTCAGCATGCTGTTGGATGGGGATTATATGGTACAGACATCTGGAAATAAAAGATAATGTTATTTCCATTATAGATCAAATATTTCTTCCTGATTAGATTTGCTACTTTGGTACATGGCATCTTAAAACTATCTCAGATATCTTAGATATTGTAGCCTGATAATAACTTCAGAAATCAGATTTGACAAGGGAGTTAAGAGACAATATAATACAGGCAAAACTTTTAGACCTGCATAATGTTATAGTATTTGAAAAGCTGACAGCTTTACTTTGTATTGCTTAATATCAATTCAAATATTTCATGGGTAAAAATGCAGAGGTATGAACAACATACTAATTAAATGTGTCAATCTGTGTTTTATTTCAGATGATACCACTAGTATGAGATGTGTTGGATTACAGCTCTGCCTTCCACAGAGAGGCAATTTTAGTAAAGAACTTGCACCTATGATCTAGGTAGAAGCTAACTGTACAAATTTTAACTTAGAGAATTAGGGAAAAGATTATTTGGGTAAGAAGCAGACTCAACATCATGTGATATTTATGTATACCTTAGCCTGAAAATACTCTAAATAATTCAGAACAGAGAAAGTATTGTTAACTTTATCTTAAATGTTACTGCTATTTTGCTACAAAGAAATACAGTTTTGCAAATATTTAATTACTTTTAAAAGCAGTCCAAATATAATGAGAAGTACAAGTGAAATAGTCCAGGTTCTTAAGTGGTTTAGTTGTACATAAATCTGTACAATTTTGTGCATCACTAACCTCACTGGTAATCTTATCTGCCCTGGCTTGCTTTCAGAAAAATAATTTTCTCACCCTAGAATGTCTCTCCAACAACTGCTTTCTGATGTTCTGCATCCAAGTGGGCCAAATCATGCAGTATGTTGGAAACTTGTAGATGCAGTTAAGAGAGATCAGTAAATCATTATTTTTCTTAGTAATTCCTTTAGCAATCAGGGTTTTTTTACTAAGATCTATGGATTTAATATTGTTGTCCAGTTTCTGAATTGCAATGGAAAAAATTGAACAGTAAGGTACAACAACACATTTTGTTGATGATTCTATGTCTGAATTTTAATGTTCTACGCATACATTAGAAAAAATGTGTAAGAAACAGTAAGTCCCCACTAAATAAATGTGATCAGATTAAAAACCCAGAAAATACCATGGTAACAGGCAGGAAAAATTAACTGTATTTTAATACAGTCAATATTTGCATTACATCTCTTATAACTGAGGCTATGTATTTTTGAAGTTGACTTTATTATTTAGTTTATATATATTTAGTCATCTCAATACGCAAAATCAAAGTACTTTATCTGATGGTACAGCTACTGGATCTGTTCTAGACTACTCATTGCTGGGATGCTTCCTACAGTTCAGGCAGTGAAAATTGTGAAATATCTGCCCCATCAATACACACCCTTGTTTGCCTTGACAAACTCAGTGGGAGTCCACAGTTCATTAAATACCACTTGTTAAACAGCAGAGGAGATATTTCGCTTCACATTTTGCCTGAAATAATTTATCCAAATTTTCTCAAGTATTAAGTAAACCGTATTTTTAAAAATGTATTATAATACAAATATCTTTCCTATTTTAAAATTTATTTTGAAGACTACAGCCTGTTATTTGAAGAGGTCCTTAGCCCAGATCTGCTCTGTAGTTCCAGGTGGCTGGAGATGAGGGGCTGAAGAGGTGTTTTGCTGGCTGTTCTGCCTGACACAAAATTCTGCCATCTACAAAACACTGCTATCTACAGAATTCTGGATACAATGTTACAGATGCTGATTTCTAAATCAGACCATTTATTTCTCATTAGGAAGCTTTTGAAATGCGATTAAAGAAGGAATGGATCAAAAGCTTCATCATTATTCTTACAGGAATGTTTGCCCACAGGAAAGCAGGTACCTTTTATTGTTCTCAGCAAAATAGCTGAAAATTCTGGAATTGTTGATCTTGTATTAACACAGCTTTCCTAATTTTATGCTTGTATCTCTTTCTCTTGCACACAGACATGTATGCATATATATGTATCATGTTGATAGCAATTTTGAGCTGGAAGTTATAGAAAAAAGAATCTTGAAAAGTTATGAAATCCCATTATTTTTTGCCAATTTTATTTTATTTTATTTTAATTTTATTCTGACCAACTCTTTCATTTCTCTCTGCCTTACCTTATTTAGCCCACAAATGAGTGCAAGTGTGAACAGCGAACTTGCTACATGATGGAGGGTCAGGGTGACAGCCTGAAGAGGCAGCAGCTTGATGTCATCAGCATCTTCATAGTATTCTTTTAGAATCCTATTTCTTTTTAGAAATGAAGACCTGGTTTCCCTACCCGCTTCTGGAGGCTGGATACTGTCCTGCAAAACTTGCTTCCTCAGCAGAAAAAGGTTCTCCAAGAAAGCAGTGCCCTAAATTCTGCTGTTCACCGTTTGAAAGAGGCAGCCAGGTAGAATTTATTTTCTCAGGAGTTTTTCTTTTGCTGATTAATTGTTTTCCACACTAGGCCATTATGTTGGTAAAATATTTATAACCATTATGATGAAAATTGCCAGGAAATGAATTCACAGAGTCCTGCTACCTTTAGAATTTTTTTTTCCCAGGACTTTGAAACACTGCTGTGGTTTGGGCTTGCTTCTCTAGTCTTGCTATTCTTTTCTGTCACACTCAGTAATTGGCCTAATAAAAGGCAGTAACAAGAATTTATTATACCTTGGGCGATACTTGAAACAAACTTTATTTGCTGGAGCAGCACTTTTTATCTAGTCGCTGCTGTATATTTTGACAGTCTTTCTAAATATTAAATCTGACTTTATTAAAAGTTAAATCTTGGTGCTTTTTTGTGATTGCTGCTGTTTTTGCAGTTTCTTAAGCAGACTAGTACATATATAAACATATCTTTTTAATGAAGCTTTTGGAGAAATAATGTAAGCTGTAGATCTATCTGCTTATTGCCAGAATCCACAAAAAAGGTATGAATTAAAGACCAGCTTCTATGAGATCTTGTAATTTAGTTTTGGAATAATGTATGAGATTAATTGAGAGAACAAAGATGAGAACTATTCAACTTTTCATACTTTTTTCAAGATTCAGATTTGATGAAATGTTCCTCAAGCAAATGATGCCCTTAACATTTAAAGTTCGCACAGTAACAGCAGTAAAATTCAAGTGAGGTAAGATTGCTATGATGTAATTTCCACTTTTAAATCTGGGTTTCTTCCAGATACTGAATGGTAAAACCATAAACTTTTTTTGTTTGTTTGTTTTCTAAAAAGGCCTTAAGAAAGAGCAGTAAGTCATCCTGGAACTGTTTATGCAGGAATTTTTATTCTTTGAAATCTTCCAGTGTTAAAGCAACAAGAAAACATTTATAATGTCCTTTGGTGGAATCTTATTACACTTGTTATATATGTAAACTGATATTCTTTGATGCCAGCACGTTGCCCATACAGAGAAATCTCTGCACAATTAAATGAAAGGAAAAAGAAAAGGACTAAATAAAAAGTAATAGTTTTCTCTTACCTGATTAGAATTAAATACATTAATAAATTGTCTGGTAACACAAATAGGCAATAATACAAAAAATCTACATTGTACATTATTTCAAGAAAAATAACTTCATTTGAATACAAAAGGATAAATACACTTTTTGTCCTATAGCCACTCTTGTACAGTAGGTGAACACAGCATCTTACTGATGCAGTGCTGCTAAGGTATACAAGGATATGACTGGCTTGAGTTTTATTGAGGGGGCTGTTACACATGTGCATCACTAACATCAGACAAAGAAATCTTTCAACCAACAAGGGTTACAGAGCAACGTTCACTAAAGCACAGGTTGGAAAGGATTTGGGGACTGAAGCAGGCCAATATGGCAGCTTTTACAGATTTCCTTATAGCCACAATGCACTGACAGCAAAGAATGCCTTGGTTTGGTCAGTCCACACACCGGGCGGAGGTACAGGAGCGCACCAGAGAGGAGTAGCGAATGTTGTTGGAATTCTCTTCTGCTCCGCGGCTGTCAAAGCCGTGTCAGTCCCGCAGCCGATTGATCCGACAGACAGGCGGCTGCCGACGTGCCTCGAGTCCGAGGGGAGCAGTCTCCACTCGCAGCCCTGTCCGTGGCTGAGTGATATGGCTTAGTTCAGTTCGGCCTTCCTAGTTTGTATGTGGATTGAGCTGGAAGTTATAGAAAAAAGAATCTTGAAAAGTTATGAAATCCCATTATTTTTTGCCAATTTTATTTTATTTTATTTTAATTTTATTCTGACCAACTCTAATACCATTTTCACCTTTCTGAAAGTGTGGTCATGATTACTTTCAGAACTTTGATATTGACTAATTATTATCTGAATGGCATCAGGTACCAAGTTCTGATCAAAGAATGAAACATGGAGAAGTGACACAAGTAAAAGACCTAATTCTGAAGTCATCGCATTGAAGACTATTAAGACCTGTGTGGCTGAACTAGCT